AAAATTAAACAAAAATGAAACTCAAAAAACAGACAATAGGAGTAAACAAAGTCAAAATAGAAACAAATGGAGTCAAGAAATGCAACTACTACATATTGGAAACAGCTGGAACTGGAAATACGCAGAAAAACTATAAAATGTGGAGAAACCGTAACCCAAGCTCTCGTCCTAACTTAAATGCATTAACATTAGCTAACCAAAGACGACAAATTATACGGCAGAAAAGACTATCCCAGACTGAAATAGATAAAATTTTAGAAAAAATAAGACAAAAATGTGAAACAAAAACTTAACAATGACAAGGATAATAAAACGGAAGAAAAACATTATAGATCTCAAATGAAAGAGATAAACATCCAGTAAATTAATACCGCACAAGAAACAGCTTTAGATATAGAACTTGTCAACCACCATGAAAGAAGCACACTTACGAATATTGTGTACCTAAAGGAAAACAAGAAATATAAACAGGTTTAAAAAAAAAGACAAACAGTGAACACTCAAATGATCTAAAAGTAACCACTTTAATATTAAAAATAAAAGAAGAGATACCAAAATAATGGAATGTCAAACGACAAAAGCTACCAAAACTAAAGAGCAATTACGAAACAAAACAAACAATACACTTGCTAAATCAAGCTTTACAAATTATATTGGAAGAAAATAATGAAAAAGTAACAATAACAGAAATTAAAACTCTGATATATGCTACAGCAGTAATAGCTAGTAGAGAGCTTAAAGTCGAAACAAAAGAGAAAACATTTAAAACTAAAGAGCCTAGATGGAAACTGCGAATAGAAAGAATAGATCGAGACTATAAGAAAAGAGTTATCTCAGTTCTCTGAAATAAGACAAGGCTTAAAAACAGATAGACTTTGGTACATATATCATACACTTTATATAAAATATAAAATACAAAATAACGAGGATGAAACTAAAATGATCGAAATGCTTAAACAAAAAGTGCAAGCGAAAGCACAAAGAATAAGAAGATATAAAAACCGAAACCTATTCCATTGGCAAAACAAAATATTTTTGGAAGATCCATCAAAATTTTATCGAACTACACAAGATAAAAGCATAACAGTATCCAACCCACCTAACACAGAAAAATTAAGAAAATTTTGGAGCAATATATGGGAACAAGAAAAACAACACAAAAGAGATGCGAAATGGATAAAAAAGCAGACCACCCGAAATAGGAAGGTAAAAACAATGAATTGGATAGATATAACGGAGAAAGAGGTCGAGCAATATTACAAAAGTCATCTAATTGGAAAAGCCCAGGACCAGATGGAATTAATAACTATTGGCTCAAAAATTTTACAGCTGTCCATAAAGTACTTGCTAGGGTATACAATGACCTTAATCAAGAACATCCAACCTATCCCTGAATGGTTAACGAAAGGCACCACGTTTTTAATACCCAAGAACACCAATACAACTCAAGAAAAGAACTATAGACCATTTACGTGCCTGACAACGATTTACAAAAACATAACAGCGATATTTAGTGAAAGAATTTACAAACATTTAGATGAAAACAAAATGTTTCCCAGTGAACAAAAGGGGTGCATGAAAAACAGTTGTGGATTTAAGAATCAATTACTGACTAATAAGATGATAATAGATAGCTCCAAGAGGCAACACAAAAACCTCAGTATGGGCTGGATAGATTACATGAAAGTCTTTTATAGTGTCCTTCATTCTTGGTTAATAGAAATAATAAACAAATGTAAAATAGACAAGGCCCTTATACAATTTATAAAAAGAACAATGGATACCTGGAAAACTAACTTAATTTTAAACACAGAAAGCGAGAGAATTGACATTGGACCAATTCATATTAGGTCAGGAATCTTTCAAGGAGACTCGTTATCGCCATTACTCTTTTGCATAGCCTTATTCCCACTGACAAGTGAACTAAATGAAACAAATAAAGGATACAAAATAAAGAATGACAAAAAACAAATAAATCATTTATTCTATGTAGACGACTTAAAAATCTTTGCTAAAAATAACGAAGAACTACAACACCTCATAAAAATAGTAAAAGATTTTAGCGACGATATAGGAATGAAATTTGGAACAGACAAATGTGCAAAAATAACCATAGAGAGAGGAAAGGTAAAAACAACAGAAAGCGTAATATTAGATAAAGACACGGAAATAAAAGAGCTAGTGGGAAATACGCCCTACAAATATTTAGGAGTAGAAGAAAAAGATGATATTGAACACGAAAATATAAAAAATAAATTATCCAGAGAATACTATAGAAGAGTTCGGTGGATTTTAAATAGAGAATTGACAGGTAAAAACAAATTCACAGCAATAGGAACACTTGCAGTCCCGGCACTAGGCTATAGTTTTGGTATTTTTAACTAGTCCAGTAAATGAAGGCCCAAAAAGCACAAAAGCTGCAGATAATTCCTACAATTTTCTTATTGGGTGGGATTTGTAGGTCTGTTAGCGTACTTTCAAATGCCCAATTGGCCTGGAGCTGAACCAGACCTCTGTAGGGGAAAATGGGGCCTAAAGGTCCTGAAAAGAGGTTTTCTGCTATTATCTTCCAAAATATGCAATTTAGAGATTTTTTGTTCAGATAAGAAATGAAGATCATCTGAATTCCTACAAAAATGGTCCTTATGATTTTTTTCGCCAGATTGATATTTTTCGCGCAAACGGAGGAACAAAAAGTCGAATTTTTTAGACCCATGAAATGAAATGAGTTTCTAAAGTTGTTAAATAAAAAAATTGGACCTAGGACTGTTTTTCGAATGACAATTTTTCGAACGACAGTTTTTCGAAGGACAGTTTTTCGAATGGACAGTTATTCGAACGGATGGTTCTTCGAACGGCCAGTTTTTCGAAGAGCCCATTGTTCGAGCAGACCATTTTTCGAAAATACATTATTGAGGAATGATAAAGTGTAGGTAATTTAAACAAAAAACATTCGGTGTCGCACCTGAAATTCAATTTAGATAATTTATTTTTTTTTATTTCATTTTTTGATAACCTGACACAGGTGCGACACCAAAACGTCAAAAATAAAAAGCGTTTTGTATAAAAATAATGATTTTATTCCAATTAATTCTTTTTAATACATAACTTATTTATAATACACTACATAACAAAAGAAACGAGGAACTTATTTATAAGACAAATTACAAGCTATACGATTTAAGTATTCTATAGGGTCTTTAGGAGAAAACTGAGTGATAATATTTTGTAATCTAATATTTAGTTGTAAGTACTTCGTTTTCTTCGGCACAGCGGGAGTTCCACAGTAAAATTGAGAAATTCTCATTTCAGTTAGGGATTGTTTGCGTTGAATCGCGGTAATAAACTTCCATATTGTGGGATGGCTAGCCGAAAGTTGGCTTTCGAAGGCAAGATGCCAACCCTTAATGTGGTTGTTAGTCTTGGGTTGACTGTTTAAAACATTATTAACACAGTTCCACATTTCCCAATCAAACAACGGTGACCTTCGACGACTGCGACGAATCATCCCAATCCATGTTTCCTCAAAGTAGTCCAGAACCTCGGTAGCTTCTTCTGGAAAATCATCGCTTAATGCATTAAAAAATGGCTGTATGTATTTTGTAGGTACGAAAGCTAATGCAGCTAAAATCTTCATGTGCTGTGCAAAGTTTTTGTCGGTGTCATATCGCTGTTAAGAGCCAGCTGTTTGAATTTTTCTGTAAATTGTCTGTGAAAAGTGGAAGAAACATCCTTGTACAGTTGCATTCGGAAATTCTTGATGTATCGCTCCTATCATCGCTGCTTCAAAATCTATTAGAACCGATTACGGTCTGAGAGCTGGTGCTAGATCTTTAAGGGCCGAAATTAACTTTATGTAAGTGTCTTTTGATATATCAGGTAGAAGTGCATATACCAGTGGTACGGATTCCTCGTTTATAAATGTATGTATGGTGTAGAGCTGGTAAAAAAGCATAGGTGCAGTCTTAAAAGTTCCATCCATGTATATGTATTCAGCTTTTTGTAGATAATCCAGGTTGTCTTTCGTGCTGAGAATCTGAATTCTTTGTTTAATGTTTCCAGAATCGAAAAGTAGAAATGGTTCGCCTTTTGTGGTGGTTTTAAAAGAATCAGGTAGATACAACTCCTCTAGACTTTTCGGCTGTGTGGGTTCCATGTTTTCTTTCACTCTTTCCCTGCGTATTGTTCGCTTTAAACTATTTATTTTACTTAGTTTGGCTGCTGTTAGTTTGTCCACTTCACTTGATAGTGCCGATATTAGGTAGTGTGAAGTGTTTCTTGTTGTCCGAGCATTGTCCTTCAGTTTATTCTTAAAACGTATGGCATCTACTTCTGCTGCATCCGCGGGGTGGTTGTGAGAAGTCTCTTTGCAAACATCATCATGGCTTGTAATTGCTCGCGATTTACATTTCTTAGACAAAAAGAACTCGCACTTCCAATATGTTTTTTCATCAACGGCTTTGTCTTTAACGAATAAAAATCCGTTCAAAAATAACTTTTTTTTTCCTTTTTCACTAAAAAGGAATTCGAGAGACATCTTTATAAACACTAAAATCAGACTGAATACAATGTCAAAATGTCATAATAATGTCATAATAATTACCTGCTTATTTATTAGAGGGATGGCATTTAATCTGAACCATAAAACCCTTATTTAAAATTACATAAAATAAAACCTTACTTAGAAGATTACCTATTCTCAAAATTCAATGGGATTATAATACTAATTAAAATTAAATTACATAAAATAAAACCTTACTAAGAAGATTACCTGTTCTCAAAATTCAATGGGATTATAATACTAATTAAAATTAAATTATATAAAATAAAACCAACTTATTTCGAACAATTGTCTATTCGAAGAATCGTACATTCGAAAAATTATCAGTTCGAAGAATTGTCTTTTCGAATAACTGTCCATTCGAATAAATGTCGTTCGAATAATTATCATTCGAAACACTGTCCGGATCCCAAAAAAATTTAACAAAACTTGTGCTTACCTACAATTTGTGTCCATATTATAAACTCTCTGGAATAAATCAACCAAATTCTCTTTTCTGTAGATATTTCCTCGCATATCTCCAAACCACCAATTTGGAGTTGTTTGTTTCACTCCTCTTTTTTTCCAATAACTCATTGGTCGTATTCCATAATAATAGAACACAAATGCACCAACTAGGCCTAACAAAATCAGCGACAGCACCATTGTTGTAATAATCTAATATTAAATTATTAATCTGTAAGAAAACTAATTTGTTGACAAGTTTTTATTTACTTTATCTAACATGTAATATTCCTATGTAATATTTAATCAACCTATGTATATGTTACATTAAAAGATATAAATCAGTATATATGAAGAATCCCCAGTAGTATGGTGCCAGGTTAATCGAAATTATGCTTTATGTGGGGGGCTGTGTGTCACAAGCTAAATTGTTAATTTTTAAGAACTAATATTTTGAAGATTCTAAAACCGGAGATAATCCAAAATTATACTGTGCAGAAGGGCACTATTTTCAAAAAACGAGATATATAGCGTAACGTGTCAACAATAAGACTGCAAAATCCAAAAAGTCCCATAACAAAATACGTAAATGTATTATTTTAAACATTTAAAAACAATTGAGGCTTACGGTACAAAAAAAACTAATAATGCAATTTTCTCGGTTTCATCTTAGGAAAAAATTTCGAAAAATGTATTTTTTATGTATGCATTAAGAAACTAGCTAAACAAGCTTTTAATAAAACAATAAAAGTTACTTTTTATAGAGTTTTGAAAATGTGTTTAGATCATAACAAAATATAAACCATAATTGTCTGTCGATTAATAATCAATTTATGTCAATTAAATACATTCAAAGTGTCGCGCTAGTTTATTTACCGTCGGCTATCGGTGTCCCCTTCCGCATCGCTATGTGTATCCCATATTAAATGCAAATATGGTTAAAAACATATTCTATTTCTACGACATTGACCCAGTCCATAATATCACCACTACACGGTTTTAATTTTTTTTTTTTTTAATAAACTTTTATAGTACTGTAAATTTTTTATACAGGTGTCCAAAATTGTACGAAACCAACTAAAACAGTTTACAATTTTATAATTTTATGCAAAAAAGTTCATATTAATAAGGGTTCAATCTCTATCAGGTGGATAAAGTGGTTGATTAATTTTAATTTACGTAAATATTGATCAAAATTTGATGAAAATTCAAAAAATGAAAAAGTTAGATAACTAATTAAAAAGTAAAAAAAAAGTTTCGTGAATGCAACTGAAAATGTAATAATTCTATTACATTTAAACCACCTGTAATTTTCGCTACTGTTCGAGATCGGACCATTGACTGAACTTTTTAAATAACTGTTTTATATAATTTGGGACACCCTTTATAATATATATCTTTTGAAACAGGGTTCTTGAATAAATTTATTATTAGTATTACTACCTATTAAATATTAAAAAAAAAATGTGTCACGAGTAAAATTGAAATGGTAAAATATCTAACTGAAAGAGCCCCTTCTCAACTTTAATAATTATATTCCTTTAATAATTAAAGAGCATGGATATTCATATTTTTTTATTAGAAAAATTACAACTCACAATCTTGTTGTGTAATAATCGTATTAAATATTATCCTTGTCTTCAGAATCTTCGCTTCCCTTTTCAAAAACAGGCTTTGGCAGCTATTAGTTCTATTTTTTTGTTAAAGAGTTTAACCAAATCTTGGTTCGGATGTTGAAAGAATTTTTTCCAGCCAGTTTTTTTTATTCTAGTAAAGGGACTCGTTGTATCGCATCATGTTAAAGTATGGAAACCAGGTAGGTTTTTTATTAGGCCGGCTACGGACGATGAGCGATAATATAATATATATTATAGCTCACATTATAAAAATATCGCTTTGCATTAAAAAGTGCAAGTCGCCGCGCATTGATGCTATAATACAGTGCTTTTCAAATAAAAGTATCCACCTTAAGTAACTTTTGAAGGACTGATTATTACAAAAAACAAAAAAATACATCAATTAATATTCGAAGGGGGAGATATCGTGCCATATTTAAGTTTGCTAAAAAAGTCACCCTTTCACCCCTACTATCATCCCTTAAATTTTTTTAAATGGCTTGCCCCATTTTTTTATCCATTTTTGGATTGCTCTCGTTTAACTGATTTCAAAAATGTATAAAACATGGGGATTAAAGTAATTAATTTACGATCTACAGAATTTTAAATTAAAATAAAATTGAATTGTGCAAAACTTTTATTTTAATGATTTTGTCACAAGCGTTTCCAATGACAAAACGAATATTTCATTTTCAAAATTTATTATAAAAATTGTTTAAAATGTCCACCATTTACTTCCATACAATAGTATAACCTAGATTGAAAAGCCTCCCTGACATTACCGAACACGTGTGCATTTAAATGTAGGCATTCATACTCTATTCTTTGTCGTAAATCTTCTAAAGATTCTGGTTGGGTAGCATAAATTTTTGTTTTTAAATAACCCCATAAAAAGAAGTCTAGAGGTGATAAATCCGGTGATCTAGGTGGCCACTCCATCATCGAGCCTCTTCTACCTATCCAACGATTGGGGAAAGTTTCATTTAAAAATTGTCGTACTGGCAAAGCAAAATGTGGAGGCGCTCCATCCTGTTGAAAGACAAGCAAGTCTTCAGAAAGAATATGATCATTTTCTATTATTTTTGTAATACGTGGATCAATTACTTCTCTCAATAACTCAAGATATGACTCTCCATTTAAGTTTCCGTCTAAAAAGAAAGGTCCGACTATGTGGTCACCTAGGATACCACACCATACATTTAACTTTTGAGGATTCTGTGTGTGGTATTCACGCACAACATGTGGATCACTCTCATAATATCTGCAATTATGTCTATTAACTAAACCATTAACTGAAAATGTGCATTCATCCGAAAAACAAAGGTTGTGCAACAAATGTGGATTGTCAGTCAAGCGCTGACTCAATAGTTCACAAAATTCAAGACGACAATCAAAATCATCTTCATACAACTCTTGAACCAATTTAATTTTGTATGAATGGTACTTATGCTTGTGTAATATTCGATAAACTGTGGAAGATGAAACACCTACTTCTCTGCTTATTGTTGTCAGTGACTGTGCTTGTTGATTTTCAAGACTTACTTGTCCTAAAACTGCGACTTCAATTGCTTCGTTATTTACGAGTTCCAGTCGGTTATGTTTTTTATTGCCAACTGACCCGGTTGATGTAAATTCATGCATAAGATGAATTACATACTTATGAGTTGCATGACCTCCTTGGTGTGTTTCGTTGAAAATTCCAGCAGCAGCTCGTGCAGAACTGTTATTTTTGTAGTATAAACCTACAAGTTCAATTCTTTCCTGTAAACTGTAAACCATTTTCAAATCAAATAAATAACCTCAACAAATCAATGTGCACATGTATCAAAATACACTATAAAAGTAATTTAAATTCATTTTTCAAATCTCAAATACCTTTACCATGTATCATAAAAAACTTCAACAAGTTTTTAGCGGTACGATTAAGGTATAATGTATTATAAATCCAATTTTGCTGCAGTCAGTAAGGTGAGATGTAATCAGATGTAATCAGTTAAACGAGAACAATCCAAAAATGGATAAAAAAATGGGGGAAGCCATTTAAAAAAATTGAAGGGATGATAGTAGGGGTGAAAGGGTGACTTTTTCAGCAAACTTAAATATGGCACGATATCTCCCCCTTCGAATATTAATTGACGTATTTTTTTGTTTTTTGTAATAATCAGTCCTTCAAAAGTTACTTAAGGTGGATAATTTTATCTGAAAAGCACTGTATATATCTATATCCCGGCGATGCCGGGCGATATATTTAATGTTGGACGAAATATGCTTTCCGAGCGATTTTTAGGATATATATTTCCCCCCTCTTGTATCGCGCTGCCCGCCAAGAAAGCAAACCGGCGTTGTTTGCATGTTTGTTTTGAACGTGATTTGATATAGAAATTGATTTTGTAGGTTTTTAAAATTAGTTGCTATTTCTACACAGATTTGTAATTTGTATGATTTAATATTTTTTTTCTAAACTCTTTAGTTTTTTAGTAAAAGTCACTTCCCTATAACTAAGTATAATCTATATACATATACAGTGTGTCCATGGATGGGGTCCCCAAGGGGGATTATTCATTTTACAACCAAAAGTCATTCTTTATAAAAAGTTCTGCTTGTTGAGAAAATGGAGTTGCCTTATAAAAATTTTAGATTAAATGTACAGGGTGTTAATAAATTAGGAAAATATGAAAATGCTTCAAGAGGGAAGTACCATTATTTATTATTTTTAACAAAAATTTTATAAAACAAAGTTGTTTATAAACTAGCATAGAGACTAAATACAAATTTTTAAATAAAAATGCCAATATTTTAAAATAGAATATTAATAATTATTACTTTCATGTAATAATTTACATTTTACAAAAAAAAATCAAGATAGCCGATTTTGTATACGTTCATGTTATGTCAGCATTTTATTAAGTATTTTTGAAAATGTTAACCAAAGAAGATCGTATTTATTTAATACAATGTTACGGTATTGGAAATGTGTCTTATCAATACGCTATAGATGTTTTTCATGGAAAATTTCCTAATACGCCCGTGTCAAAAAAAGCATTGCGAAAATTATTTAAAAAATTTAATGAAACTGGATCGGTGATGAATGTAAAGAAATCAAAGAAAAAATACGACGAAAATGACGCAGCTACATTATTAGCAATAGGGTCGGTTTTAGATAACCCGAAATTATCTTTAAGGAAGCGTGCACAAACATTGGATTTAAGCAAAAGTCAATTACACGTAATTTTTAAGGAAAACAAAATTATACCGTTTAAGCCAAAGATTCGGCATACACTTGAACCTGGAGATGAATAGAGACGTTTAGAGTTTTGTTTATGGATAGGTGAAAAGTTCCGTGAAAACCGAAGATTTTATAGATTTATTTTTTTTACCGATGAATCTACATTTTGCACAAACGGGCACGTATCTTCACAAAATAGTCGTCATTGGGCTTACGAGAATCCTAATTATGTGATAAACAAACGAAGTCAACGTTACAAAAAAGTTAATGTATGGTGTGGAATTTTTTTGGATCGGATCATTGGTCCAAATTTTATAGAGGAAAATTTAAACCAACACGTGTGTTTGAACATTTTGGAA